TTTAAATTATAAATTATATAATTATATATTTAAAAATATATTTTATAACCTTTTAAATTAATATTTAATTAATTAATTTAATTTTTTATTTAATTATAAGTTTAAAAAAGTGTAAGTTATTTTTTTAAGTTTTTTTATTAATTATTTTATTTTAAATTATTATATGTAAAATATTATGTTTTTAAAAGGTTTATTATATAAATAAATTATTATTAATAATGTTTAAAATAACATTAATTATATTATTTTTAATATAAAAAGTTATAATATATATAAAGTTAATTAAAATTAATTATTTTTTATTTAAAATTTATTTATATTTAAAGTTATATATATATATAATTTAAAAATATATTTAATATTTAATATTTTAATAAATATAAATTTAATTAACATAAAATTAATAATATCTTTTAAATTAACCTTAAATTATTATATATATAAAGTTTTATATCTTTATTATTAAAATTAACTTTAAGCAATGTGTTAAAAATAGGTAACTTTTGGTGGAGGAGGGGTGGCTTAATGTGGGTCTGGTTGACGAGTGGGTTGCGCATGGTATTAGCAAAGCCTAGCGTACAAGGAGCTATGGAAACTCGTGTTAAACGGATATGGGCTGCCCAAATATCCAATGCACATGATGTGTTTCGACGCGTTTCATCCAGTTGGGGATGGATACTGAAGTTTAGGGGATTTTGCTCACACGTTACGGGGATCCGGGGTGATATGTGAGTACTGTATCCCAATTCTTGCACTAGGATGGCTTCCGTATTGAGATTCCTTCAGCTGGCCAATCAACATGTTTAGTATCTAGATTGAGTCTTTTACAATGAGCGTGGGAAGACTTGATGATGATGATAACGTCTATTGGTCTGCTATATGCTACATAGATACAGCGGCGTGTCTCGGGCGCTTTAGACGTCTATGTTGTTGTTCTATTTAACGTCTGAGCGAAAGAAGGGTAAGCTCCTCTTCGCAGCCTCCCTGGGGGTATCGGACGTGGCAAGCTCTAATCTACATGATGCTGCTAATACTGATGATGGTACTGATGATACATGGTAATTATGATGCCAAACCTTGCCTCTGGGGGCTCAACATTCCCTGATTAGCGATCACTACCCGTCGATCGGCCTAATCTCAAGCCTATTGGCTTTGCAGGTCTTGACTCGAGGGTTGGTCTAGTGGTTGGTATTAGGGTCCCACGCCTTGTGGTTCACTTGCTTTAGACGTCTAGAGTACTCCATAAGGGGAAAAAAGCTAGAGTATACCGCCTGATATTTTGGGAAGACTCAAAAATGAAGATTGGTGGTGATACCATCTAGCAAGACAAACTGACCACCTTAGTCAAGCATACAATGATAGACGTACTGCGCGGAATAACACAGTTCTCATCGCCCTACGACACACATTGATAATCACAGGATAAGGGCAGCGTAATTGGCTCAAGTAGACTGGTCAAATGGTTGAAAATCGCGTTAATTATATGTCTGGTGGCCTTGAAGGCCCTACTTATATAGCACACATTACGGCCCTTATCAGGTAGGTGACTTGGATTACTCGTGAGTCACCTTCCGACACAAGTAGACATAACAGAGTCGATCGCAATGTTGTACTCGACTCTAGAGCCTCGACGTAGCTCGAAACGACCCCGGGACCTTCATTAATTACACCCTCCGATAGCCACCACGTGCCAACACGGCATGGTACAAATATTGGGTATTGTCCAGGATCCGATACAGAAAAGGAACATAAAGGTCGGGAGATCCGATGTAGAAATTGGTAAAGGCCGGGGAAATCCGATATAAAATTGGTAATAAAGGCCGGGACAGTCCGATGACCCTCCAACAGGTATTCCTCCAACGGGTATTCGAAATTAAGCATTAGATTCGGATCCACGGTGGACGAGCATTGGCGATATAATACGGACGTCAGCGCCGCTACCGGTTGAACACTAGGGCGTTTACTATATGGCCCTTCTTCCATCCCTGGCTCTGCAGCGACGAGTTCTCCTTGAGGATTTTGCCCATATAGGCTACGCGGACGTGCTTCGCGGAGGACAGCTGCTCTAGATTGTCAGAAGGCGCTCGCGAGAAACGTTTGCAGAACTTACCCCGGATTCTTCGGCTACCCTCTTGGCAAAGCTTCTCACGGTTTCGTCCACACCGACGCTGATGACCACGTCTGGTAAATTCTCGCTAAGTCTAGCACGAACTTTCACCGCGTTTTTGATATCGACAACACCTTTTCCCTTCTCCTCCCTCCGTCGTATAGCTTCGTCTTCGTCCAATTCCTCTTCGCTCTCTTCCTCGCCGGTCAGATCCCCGTCTCCTTTCCGCCCCGCGTCGCCGTTGTTTCTCTTGGTCTCGTTTTCTTCGGTAACGTTCACGGGATCGCAAACGATCCATTCCGGCAATGCGTAGTAGTTTCCTAGCGAGTCGTACGCGCCGTTCGATAAGTCGCCTGTGGGCAGGGTGATCTCGGCGGCGTTCAGTATGCTCTGCGCCGTGGCTATGCCGTCTGTCCCGTCGTCTTCCCGCTCACTTCCGGTCGCGTAGGCCAAATCCGCCTCCCATAGAACTTCCAAGGCCGCCTTCAGGACCTGCCATACCTCGGCGCGCCCGCTGACTCGCGTATCGAAAAAGTCGGCGCGTTCCGTATCTAATTGGGAACGGGTCCACGACCGATCGCGCGCAACCCACTTGTGCCGTCGCAAGGGCTTGTCTATGTGTTGCGAGAGCGGCGGCTGGCAGGTGGGCGTGTGGTGGGCGTGGGGATGCGATCGCTGCGGATGAGGCGGCTGCGCCGGTTGGTGCGAGTGCGAGTCGGCGCGCGAGACTGGCGGGCTGTCGTCGGTAGCGGAAGGGTGCAGCGGCGGGGAATTGATGGCGCGCGCGGAGGGCGACGCGGCGCTACCGCCCGGATAAGGGGCGTTGGGGCCGGCGGGCGTCGAGAAGCAGCAGCCCTACGAGAGCAATTGTTAGTCGGACGTGGAAAAGACGTGGCTGGCAGCGCTTCTTAGAAGGCTTTCGGGGATTGTCGGACTGCGCGGGGATAGGAAGTGCATTTCAACGAACCATTGCTTTTGGACAGTGATAGGCACCGGGCGAATATGAAAGACCTTTTCAGCGCATCGTCTCTCGCTCTCTTCTGGCTGCGATACTCGAAATTCGAAGGGCGATTCGGGTCTCGATCGTCGGCGGGCGCTAGTCTTCGTATGATGCCAGAATTGTTTAAGGTTAGAGGAGGCTCAAAAGTATGGAGAAATAAGTGGACTGATACATGAGCTAAGGCGAATCAAGCCAAGGGATGCTGCCAAGCTTTCCCCGCTAACCTTAATATTGACCATGTCGCTGTCACATGGAATTCATATCCATCAAATCCGCATTCGCTATTACGGCGGCAGAATAACGTCAAAAGGTGGTGCACCTACCAACATAATTGTTAGATTGCGCCAGTTAGTTCTGGGCGGATTCAAGCGATAGTGGCACATGCATTAGATTCTGTATTCTTGTGATGTGTAGCCACGTGGCAATGTTCGTCATTGTACTGAAATAACCCGAGCCAGTACGGGTGCTACACCAAACGGCAGAAAGTCGAACAACTTATCCCAAGTACGAGGCTGGCTACGTACGATGCCGGCACATGCTGCCCTCGTCATACCTATCACCAGATACTAACCCTCGTCATACTATCACCAGTAGCCCTCGTCACCAGAGTAGCCCTCACCAGAGGTACCCCCTGCAAGCCTTACTCCCGCACAAGCATCGTGTCATATCCTTCCGCTTCTCCGGATCTAACGCGTCATTTTCCGAATCGTCCACCCCGTCCACGTAGTCAAACGTTAGCTCTTCGCCCCTCGGTATGTCCCTAAGCGCGAATAATGCCAGGTCGTGCAGATGCTTGTCCGCGTGGTCCCCTACTCGAGCGAATATGCGCATGTTCGGCTCGCAAGAGTGATTGACAAATCTGGTCGGGCCCGACATGAATTCGCCGTCTACCTCCAAGGGCGGCCCGCGCAGGCGCTCGTCGTAAGATTCCGGGTCGGAGAACTTATCGAGGGCGAAGAGGTACACGTCCTTTCGCTGCGCAATATGCGACTCGGCTCGGCGGCGGTTAGCCTCTTCGGCGGTGATGATCTCGCCCATATACTTGTCGACGAACTGGCCTCTCTTGATGTCTACGGTGCTCCGCACGCCCCAGCCGCGGTTCTTGGTCCGAAAGATCTGCAAGGGGATCCGGCGACCTCTTTCTACCACTCGGTTTGGGCAGTACGGACCGCAGGCGCAGCTCTCGTGGCATTCGTAGATGGGATCGCGCGACGCGAGGATTTTGGATCGTAGTCGGCCCGCCCTAGCGCCGTGGCTATGATATGCGTATACTTTCTTGTGAGGTTTCGCGCCGTAGGTATCGTAGAGGCCGTCGTCGTCGGAACTATCGTCGTCGACATCTTGAAGGCAATTGCACGTATTGTATTGGCAGTCTTCCGAATCGACGCACTCGCAACCGGTGAGGAACTCTCTCTTAGTCGGTTCTACACCTTTTCCGAGGACCGAGCTGTCCATGAACCGGAAATCGGGGTCGAGCACGGCATCGTCCTCGGTATTGATGATGGTGATGGGGAATTTAGTGTGAGTCGCGAACGAACGGATCTGGCAGAAATGGCAACGACGCTTCTCGTTTTCTAGTTTTTCGTCGCCCTAATTTCCGTCGGCCCTACTTAGCAGATGCATATTTAATTGAGAGGACTCGACTTACCGCGTCGCCGTGAAAAAAGAAATGAGGCCGCGTATACTCCTCCATCTTGGCCGGTGCCAAAGTACGGTTCACCGAAAATCGAGTGTCTTATGACGATAGCCAGGAAATTCCATGGCTTGGCCTGGCGGAGAGAGCGCTTTGGTTCCTTAGGATAAGTGTCGTGGGACGTGGAAGTGGAAACGGGACCGACGCGTGTAGAATTGCTTTGGCAGGTTTGTGGGGGTTTAATTGGTTATTACGATAGCAATTGGTTATCACGATAAGCAAGTCGAGTTTATCAATATATCCGTAATGTACGTACTCGAGGTCCCAGCTTCCGTCCAACACTCGTGAGGTTAATATAAAGTTTCTGCAGATAAGTTTCTCCGAATTTAATATTAGCACGCCGCTAATGCCCCGGCTTAGAACCTCAAGTGCATAATGGCGGCAAACGGGTTGGCGTCTCGTCCCGCATTACATACACTAATGTTCGGCTACCTGTCACTGTCTGACGGATACCAAATTATGAAACTCTAGGTTAGGCCGATGGCTACGCGAGCCGAACCTCAGTCCTTCCAGGACCGCGAATTATTCCCTTCCTTTCGTGACTGTCCGGGGGAGCACGTTTGGGATGACCGGTACCTCGTCGACCGCGGCGGAGCCGGTACGAACCGCAAGCACTGGTGCCTCCTAGGAGAAATTATCCAGGCGGACACTATCATCCGCCCTCGTATCGTAGCGAAGGATCACAAAGGTGATCGGTTTGTTGTTGCGTTCTACCCCGACGATCCGAACGATATGCCCCGCCTCCTCAAGAACTTCAAGGTGGGCAATACCATTGCTATCTTCTACCCCTTAGTTCACCAGTTTCTCGACGGAAGCATTGGCGTGAGAATCGAAGACTCCGACGAGGTTCTAGTGAGTTACCTACGCGTCAGATTGCTACCTATATGTTAATCTCGGTAGATTATCCCTCTCGGGTTCAAAGATGTCATCAAGATGAACGAACAAGTCCTCAAGTACGCAGTCGGGGAAGGAACCCAGCGGAAATGCCACGGTTGCGACGACGTAAAGGAGAATCTCAACACCTGTGCAAGATGCGCGCTCTTCAACTATTGCGACAAGGTACGTAGCGATTTGAATATACATCTTTACAGACGAGCTCCGCAGCATGCTGACTGCTGGGTAAGGATTGCCAAACGAAGGCGTGGACCGAGAAAGAGCATAAGAAATTTTGCAAGACGCTCAGCCGGGAGGATATCAAGCTCATGCACTTCCTAAAGTACGAGACCTACGACGCCTCTATTTCCTTTGCGTAAACCGTAGCAGGTCGATGCGCATAGTCCTTGCATTTGCTTGACACCCTACTTGACCATCTGCAGAATACGACTTGTCGATTGGGTCAAGTCATTAAAGATGGAGTGTTGAGTCTTATCCCTATACCGACGTGGAATTAACTAGTAGATACTGGCCCATTTTAAGTATCCCAAGTAGACAATGTCCGCGATATTAACTGATTCTCTGAATTAACTGATCTGATCCCATCCACCAATTCTCAAACAAAAGTAATCCAGACCTCAAATACCAGCCAACCCAGCTCCGTCTCGGGCCCCTCTCTTAGCTTTCGCAACTCCGACTTCACATCCAATGCCTTAATCCTTTCTTTCCATACGTCGCCCTCCCGTACTTCGTCCCACAAGTCCTTCCAGCTCTGTTCGCTGTGGATATATTTAGTACATCCGCGAACGCCGGCGGTGGGAACGGCGCTCCCGCCCTGAATCCCTATCACCAACACCGGCTGTCCCGTGTCTTTCCTCAGAAGCCGTAGGCAGCGATTGATTACCACCTTCTGCTCTTCGGGGCTGAAACAGTGAAATACGTGTGATAAGTGCAAGATGGTGACTTTGTCGTCCAACGCTCTGAGTTTGTCTTCGGGTGAGTTGGACAGCAGGTCCCCGGGACACGGGAAATGGTCTCTCGGCAATTTATGTTCGTCTTTGAACAGCTTGAATCCGAGATTGATAAGTTCGGGGTCGATATCGCTAGCCCAAATTCGGCTCGCCCTCGCACCGTCGTAGACCAGCTTGCGCAGATCTTGTCCGAAGCAGGATCCTAGATCCAGAAACAGAGGCTCGACGGCACCGTCGGGGCATGCTTGTTTCAACGGGTTCAAGACGTGCTCTTGGTACGCCGGGTGGGTGCAAAGGTTCAATTCAAAAAATATGAAGGCTCCTAGGCACGGGTATGGAAAGACGGCGTATGCCTCTTTTCGTACTTTCAGGATGTGCTCGAGCTGATGGTTCTTGGGGATACCGGAATACGATTCAAGCAAATCCGAAAAGGATTCGGGGATTGTGCCTGGTGTCTCTCTGAACTCGTAGAGAGAGACGAATTGATCGATTTTATTTCTGTCCTCCATAGTCGCTAGAATGTTAATATCAAAGATTTGTAACCACCCCCTAAATGTGTTCAGGACAGCAGAGCCATTATAGGTTTATGTACTCGATAGCGAGAGAACTGTTACGGGACAGCATTGCCAAGGGTGGTGGCCGCGATACGGACGAGGCCATGCACCGGTAAGGCGGTTAGGAAAATCACCATATGAGGTCTATCACGAGGAAATGGAGCAATACGGTATGCCCCCTGTAATGTTGTTCGGCGGGTGCCTACGGCTAGATTGTTGAGATCCCAAGCGTATGTCTACTGCTGCCCTAGGAGGGTCGTCATAGTTCTCCGAAGACGCCGTTTCAGAGTATTTTATGCCATAAAGCCCTAGTATAATAGTTGAGATGTTTTAGAGGGCGTCGTTGTATTCGGAATTAGGAGCCCGGTTCTCCATCGTGCACGTCCGAATCCCACTTGACCAATTGGTCCGACTCAGGTTTTCCTTGGGCATGGCGTTAATGGGGATGGTCTCCGGTTCGTTATAGGAAGGCGTCTTCGACGGGTTTTCCGCTGATCAAGTCGGCTACCTGGCGCCGACACTAACCAGGTAGAGTGATGCTCTGGGCAGGTAGGGGCTGGGGATGCTATAGCCTATAGGAAGTGGAGGATCTCTCATCCAGCGAGTTCGACGAGTCAATTAATAGCTTTACCTGACTTGAACCTGACCTGACTTGGCCTAGGTAGATCGTGAATATTTTTGATGCTATGTGATAGGTGTATTTCTTATGCTGATATAGCTACGTCTGTGGCTTTATAGGGGCATTTAAGTCCGCAGATATGACCAGGTAAGCCCTGTAAGCCAGTGTACAATACATATCTGACTTGTAGGCGGTCAAGTCTATACGGTTATTTGACCTGACTTGACTTATCGAACTCGCTGCCCTGGACGTCTAAAGCGCCATAGATGCGCCTGCTATAGCTATCCAGCTTATAGCAACCGATAGATGTTAACGTTCTCATCATCATCATCATCGTTCGCGTCCGAAAACTAACATAGCTTCAGGGGTGAGCTGTATGCAAGATAGCCAGCATCTCTATTAGCAAAGCGGCTAGACCTCAAGATACGTGCTACAGATTCTAGATCTCCCCTTTACTATTAGTAATTTAATATACGGTCCAAGCTTGTTACTATTACCCCCCAAGAGCCCACAACACCACGGAAACACCCGAATGCCCGAGTTTACAAGGAATATTGTCTAGCTAACCTCGATTCGCCTAAGCGTATGACGAATATCGTCCGACTAAGCTTGATTTGCCTAGGTTTACAAGCGATGCCGGAATTTGTGAGGTTATTTTTGGGCCATCCTTTTCGCAAGGGGGATTTTATGTATACGCGCATTTTTATTGGATGTATTTTTAGAGGCGGATAGGATCCCATTGATCGAAATACGTATGTACTGTTCCAAGTCCCCCTCGAAGGTGCTGGGTCCTCCTGCTAAAGATACCGAGTCCTTCTAGGCGCCAAGTCTTATGTTGTCAATGCTAAAGGTATTTGGGATATTCGGGAATTTTAGTAAAGGTCAGTATTCGAGGTTCCGGCAGCAGCGACGCGTGATTAATGACTATACGGCCTTTGTAAAGTTATTGTGGCCGGGGTTTGCCTCCAATACTGTCTATAGAAAGTGAATCCCCCGTCTTTGAAATTTTGCGCAAGTATAATCCTGAGTATAATCCCGAGTACTGAATAGTCTACGGTGGCTAATTGTAAATGTGCCCCGAATTCCTTGATCACTATCTCCTGAGTGAGCCCTTACCCAGTATCAAAGTAAAAGCAAATAGGAATACTACATTAAATCACTATTTACGGCAAATATAAGTCATGTAAGATCGAGACTGATATCTGGGTGTACCGCATTTTATACTAAGATTGACCTATCGTGAAAGTATGATGGTGACTTTGGCTATCATAGGGATATCCGCCTATACGTCTGATGTCTCTATTAGTACTCAGGTCCTACGGCCGAGGAGTTCGCCTGTGTTTGGAAGTGGTCACAGTCAACGTGGTAATTCAATAGAGACTTTGTCACTTTAGAACGGAATCATGGCGTATCACTAATAATTCTGTCACTATTCGGGCGAAGTAATGAGGTGGAAAGATTCAGACGCTGACTTGAAGTGATTCGCGGTACAGTTGTCTCGTTATCAAGATGTAGTCATACTCTGTAATCCACATACACCCACCCGAGCCTACGTCGACTTCTATTTAAACATTTATCTTCTGGACTTTCTAGCATACCAACATTGGCCATAACCCTCACAACGCCCGTTTTCGTTGATTCCCACCGTCCATTCCGCAATCTGCAACTGTAACCTTTCGACTATCTCCTAGAGTTCTCTGTCAAGTTGCCACTAGCTATCTAGGGTTCTCTTAAGTTACCACTCGCTAACTTCCCATACCCCACCAGGAATTACCATATCTGTAGCGCCATGTCGAAAGGCCGTGCGGCATTATTCACATTCCTCATCACCTACCTAGGCCTCTCAGCGGTTGGATTTTCGTACTTCGCCTCGTTTGTCCACAATGAGCTAAATCCATATTTCGCTGAACATGGAATGGAGAAACGGTCAAGCGACGCCCATGAGGTCTTCACGCATCTCCTTGTCTCGGCTATCCTTCTCTGGTGTTCGGTCTTGGTCGTCATATTGGTCTTTTGCCGCGAGACTGACCGCGAGCGCTCCGGATCTACCTGCGGATCTGGCAAAGGATTCATATTCTGCCTCTTCCTGTATGTCTTGGTCGTCTTGGAAAGCCTGACGTTCCCACACGTCTGGGACTCGTGGCAATACTTTGAGGCGAACAACCTTCCTCACTTAGCAAGCAACTGTCATGGCTTGGGGGGGATGACTCTTGCGTTTCTCATCCTTACTACGATCATAGGTATCATTATAACCATAGTCTTTTCCTGTAATTCTGAACGGGGACACAGGTAATAAGAATATGTTAGGATTAAGAGTTTTAGGAGTGGTGATCAACGATTCTTCAATTTGCTAGCCACTTGCCAGGCGCTGGTTGATAACGGGCTATTCTTAGGTAAAGAGCCTGGGTTGGAAGGTAAAGCGTTTCTTCGCTTAGATCCATGTTCCTAGATACTATTTAATTGACGTATCTTATGCGGTATTTACGAGAATTGATCTGATATCTACTTAAGCAATCATTGGAAGACGTGAGTTTTAGGTATACTGAAAGAACGCGAGCACATGCACTTGTACATATGTAGGTACCTAATGTACGGAATACAGGTACTCAGGTACCGGACCCACTTAGTTCAGACGTTCCACCGCGGTGGGACAACTATTTTCTTTATCTTTATCGGCTTCATTTTTTTCGGCCGTGTCGTCACGGCCAAAATTCAATCTGATACTTCACGCCAACTTCACTTCGCAACCCTGTTATTCTGCATACCTCATCATACCTCATCATACCTCAATAAGATACCTCCGACGATGGCAGCCGACGAGCGGAATATGCCCTTCATAAAACACCTTGCGTCCAGTGGTTAGTTTGCAGTTCCTCAGGCGCGACATGCTATGGTTTAGGTCTTGGACGATTGCGCTGGATGCTGACATTTCGTGACAAAGATCGCAAAATACGAACCTCGGCCCTCGGTACCCTTCGCACGTTCCTCACGGCGCCTACCACCGCCCGGAAGCTGACAGACCTCGATTATCTAAAACTATGGAAAGGACTATACTACAGTGTATGGATGTGCGATCGGCCCATACCTCAGCAAAACTTGTGCGCCGACCTCGCCGGCCTCCTAGCTGCCCTTCCTACGCCGAGCGATAACGAGTGCGCCGTAGTGATTCCCTTCCTCCGCGCCTTCTGGGCTACCCTCTCTCGCGAATGGACTGCCATCGACGTTTTGCGCATGGAGAAATATTTGCTGCTGGTGAGGCGGGTATTCGGCGCCAGTCTGGCTTGGGTGGGCGACGGGAAAGACAAACGGTGGACCGGTACGCGCGCGGACGGCATGCTCCGGCTGCTAGAGGAATGGCCCCTCGAAAAGACGGGCGACCTATCCAAGGTGTCTGTGGGCTTGCGGCTTCACGTGTTAGATATATGGGTCGACGAAGCGGAGAAGCTAGAATTGCTGGCGGAGGAAGGTGACGAGAACGCCGACGACCGCGGTACGTTTCTAGAGAGGTTACGGACTATCGTGGAGGTGCAATGCAAATCTGCTTGCCAACCTGTGCAGTCCAGAGCTACGGAATCTCTGTCGGACGAGAGGTTACCGTGGAATAGAGTTACCTCGTCGGAGGAAGAGATGGACGTTGACAAGGGCGACGGGGATAGCTGGGATGGATTTGACGACTAAGTCGCCAACAGCGATTTATCCGCTGCCGGGAATGCGAACGTGTTAGGATTTGGAGTTCGGGCGTTTATGCGGATGGACATATCGGGAATCGAAACTTTTGTTCAAGACCATAAAGTCCTATATTAATAAATATACCTAAGACGCAGTACGAATCGTGCGCGTGTTGTTCAAAGATAAATCTACTTCTACGCTGGGGGTATCACATAACCTGCTTATTACTCTCTTCCGCATTTATACGATGGCTTTCTCCCAGCCGGACGGGCCGGCCGCTTCGTACCTCCCGTTCTTCGATAATACGGTACCCAATCCTTGGTGAATCTCGACCTGGAACGGCTCGAACGGGACGTGCTCGCCGTCGATGCTGATGTAGCCGTCTTTCTGATTGCGAGGTGTGAAACGGTAGGCGATAACTTTCCGGTACGATACGTGAGGAATGTCGAACAGCCGGCCGTTCTCGACCGACATTAACAGCTCGAGATACTTGGCCGCCGAGATGTCGCCGTCGTTTAATACGACATCCATCATCCCGTCGTTGGGACACGCCGCCGTAAAGAAGTTCGCGTCCGGCGCCATCCACGCCATCTGTCTAGAGTTAGAGACTCGAGATATACTTCCGACCGGGACGTCCTTCTACTTACGTTTCCGCAATAGAAATTCCCAAGCTTGTCGTACGAAGCCGTTTCCCAGTCGTCGGGAATCTTGTCGTTTACCGTCCCGAATCGTAACGGCGGTAGACCCTCTCCCGAATCCGTCTCGCTCGAGGGAGATCCGCCCGCCGAGGATAATTCCTTCGCGACGCCGTTCTCCCTCCGCGTAGTATGGTCGAATCCGTTGCGCTCGCGCTTGTAGTGGGCCTTGATATCCGCCTTCTCCGGGATTTCTACCTTCATCGAGATGTCGCACGGGTAGAGCTTCTTGCTGAATATCCTCTGCACTAGGCCGACGTTGAACCGCGCGGCGCCCAACCAGCGCAAGTTTTCCGTTCCCAGGTCGCACTCCGCTATAATGCCGACCGACTGGCTCAGAAAGCTGAGCATTCGCTTATCCCCCTGCGTAACGCTCATCAGATCCATCGGCATTCTTACCCCCTTGACGATGGCGAGCGCCGCGAAGCTCGGCCGGTGCGTGCCGTTCAAGTTGCAGCTCATCGCGTTTCCGCTGCCGCACGGTATGTGCGCGATGGCCACCTGGTGCAAGGCTTTACGCGCGTCGGGCCGCTTTCCCAAGCCGTTTATGCACTCAAACGGCAACCCGTCGCCCGAGCAAGGTATTACGATGTCGTACGCGTCGATATCGAGCTGTTCGCAGATCCCGACGGCCTCGCCCGAGAATTTTGTGCGCACCACGTCTAGCGACATGCGAGCCGCTTCGAACAGCGGCTTCACGTCGTGTTCCCACGTCTTATCGGCACCTCCGGGTCCCGCGTGCGGGTTGACTAATACCTTGGCTCGCTTTTTTCGCTGGGCGGTCCCGTACGCTTGCTCGAGAACCACGCCGACCCACACGTCTACCACGCTGGGAACGGTCTCGCCGAGCGCGTAACTCAGCTTGACGGCGCGGAGGTGTTTTTTGGATGTAGGGTCGGCATAATCGACGATCAAGTGTTCGGCGACGACCTCTGCCCAGAGGATATTGTAGAGAGGAATCGAAAATTCGGCGGGAGCGCTGCCCACGGCAAGGCCGCAGAGCTTCTTTCGGTGTCGCCTGGCTTGGTTCTTGTCTAGAGCGTCGCGGAGAAATGTTAGCCTTAGTTAAGCGCCTCGCCGATCCATGGTATGAAATACCTTTAACGATTAACGAATTACTTGTTAGGGATAATGAGACACCCTTGTCGAGGAGTAGAACATCCTTCGCGGCTGGCTGAGAGGGAGCTGCGACGGAGGTAACTTCGGCCATCGATGTAGAATTATAGCGAGCGACTAGAGAACGGAAGAAAATAAGACAAAATCTATATTGACGGGAGAATAGCGACGAGACTCGCGGTTTACAACATGCTTGGTAAGGTCACTTTGTACAAAACCAGGAACCACGCAGACCCTTGGTTTACGGTATCCGCATCTTGCCGTGATACCGAAGAGATTCTCAGCTATGATTGGACAATTCGCATGTCTTCAAATTACAGTAGCTATTTCTCTAAATTGTACTGTGTGCCACGTGCCGAATTAAGACTGACGTAGCTCGCGCAAGCTCAAGAATAAGTCGATCTGTATATTGGCAAGATAAGGTATTGGTATAACGGAATTATGAACACTCATAACCTCGGTATCAATATCAAATTTTTACTGTTCTCCGTGCTGCCATGTTTCTCTCCGCGCCTACGATTAGAACGACGTGATGACTTAGCGCCACAACTTCTCCGGTCTCGTCCATGATGACAACTTCGAGGTCCATTCTTCCGTTCTTGATACACTTTGCCCGCACTCGCGAGAATAGCCATTCTACACCCTCGGGTGGCAAAGCCTTCTTGATGTCCAAATTTAGGACTACGGTGGGATACCAGAAGACCGGCGGACGAATATTTCCCTTTTCCATATTCCATAAACCATACACGACGGAGGGGAAGTGATCTGATACAAAGCCCAGGCTCTCGTTTGTGAATCTTTCCCCCGAGTCGAGGCGTACCCATTGATCGATTAGGCCCGGCGCAACCTGACCGTTCCGCGGAAGAAAGGTGCGCACGCGGTTAGATACCTTACGGAATTTCGAATGCGGCTTGTCCGTCTGCTCGGCCCAGCTAGCGTCCTTGCCGCTTTCGAGAAGCGCGGCGAAGCTGGTCGGCCGTAACGGCGGCGATGGGTATAACGACCACAAGGTCTTCAGGGACAACCCGGCTTCGGCAGCCAAGTTCGAGTGCGTAAGATATCCCACGACCTCCTCGCGACCCTCCTGCGACAGGGCGATATGGATAGTTGACGTCTGGCGGCCGAGCTTGACATCGCGTACCACCAGAGTAGCCGAGCCCTCCTGAGTTCGGCGTAGAAACTCGACATGCAGAGATATCGTGTGCGGCTGATTCTGCGCCGCCAGAGTCGTGCGAAAATGAGTCGCGGCGACGCGAAGAAAGATTGATGTCACCACGCCGCCGTGGGGTACTGTGTCTCATCGGTTAGATCAGAATTGGCAACGGTGCAAAATTGGCGATACTAACCGGAGCCTACGCACCATTCTGATTCGAAGTTTGCAGAGTAGGTGTGAGAATCTAGAGCCTCGACGGCCGTGGCTTCTGAGAATGTCGGCGCCATTTCGAGTAAGAGAACAGGGAGAAGTGATTCATCTCAGGGCGAACGAGGTTACGATTCGTGTGTAACTATCATTCATTGTAAAAAGGCGATACTCAATTAGAGACGCGTTGCCGTATATGTTCATGTATAGGTACCTAGGTATATTGAAGTTATTACAGGCTGGTCAATATCGCAACCTAATAAAGCTTCGGTGGGTCTTGCGTTACAAGCCTCGGCAATTCCCCAGACATTGAATGATCGCCGCAGGGATGAGAATGCATTAATCTGATATGCGCTTACTAGGTTTAACATAACATTCCAAACTGCAACGAGTTCCGTCACCATTCCGAAACTACGATTGACCATGAATACTCCGACATTGTTGCCGTCGTAGAAAGCGCTCATAATACTTCAAAGTACATACAAATGCCATTGTCCTTAGGTGTTGCCGAACTCGCGGACGCCGCCCGCATCGCCGAGATCCACACGGCCGCTTTCGGCTCGAACGCGATGCTATTAGCGCAATTCCCCACACCGGCCGTTCGGACCGCTCTAAAGAAGAGCATCGAATTAAAAGCGCTTGCCGACATCGACGATCCGAAAACTACCGTCCTTGTCGTTCGCGACCCGAGCCTAGAAACCCATAGTAGCAACGCCGCATCGGCCAATGAGCAAACTCGCGAGCGTCGAAACAAGGAGCAAGTCGTAGCGTTTGCAAAGTGGGCGCACCCCGTGCAACCTAACGAAAACTACGTCGAGCCCCCGTGGATTTGGCCGGCAGGAACAAACCTCGGTGTTCTTGATGATTGGGCGAAGAAAACCGAGGAAGCCCAATTGCGAGCCGTAGGAAATACGCCGTGTTATCGTAAGTATCGTCATTTTAATGAGATAAGAGATACGGACTGAGCAGTCCTCAGGACTCACGTTCATGGGGACTGATCCCTCACATCGGAGGCGTGGTGCAGCAACGACGATGGTCCGATGGGGTATGGATCGTTCGAGGAAAGATGGCGCTCCCGCGTATCTGGAGAGTACTCTCGAAGCAGCTTCGTTCTATAGAAATCTCGGTTTCGTCGACGTAGATAAGATTTCATTAGAATATGGGATAGACGGCACCGAGATATGTAGCACTTATGAGGAGGTTAGCTTTTTATACAGGTGACTAGACTGCTGCGTATGTTTTTATATTCAGTCTTGATGTAGAGTTCCTACGGTAATTTTCAATACCATTTAGCATCTGATGGGATACGAATGCTAAAGGCATGTAGTCTAGATGCTAATGGCGTGTGGTCTAGATGCTAAAGGCGTGCGGCCCAGACCGTTTACTACCCCAGGCATCGCTGCTCGTCTTATGAAGCCGCATGGCTATTACAGAAACCCAATTTCGAAATTCCCAGTATTAGCAACTGGCGATCCTCATACTTGATTGGTCCCATCCTCTATCATTGCACAATTGCGCAAGTCCTTTGCCGAATCTCTATCGTTACCGAAACCTGGCCATCTCCATTCCCTAGACGCACCTCTCGTGCCCGAGCCTTTCCGAAAGGCAACAGGAGGCGCAATCGCACGGCGGGGCGGATGAGGCAATCCGTCCCTTACGACAAGAACTCGCAAATTGGGGATCGTTTGTGCTACAATACTTACGCACGGCTCAGCCAAGTTATAAACGCATTGAACGCACCTCCCATCTCCGCCGCAGCTGATTAGCAATAAGTCTAGCCAAAGCGGCTGGAGGTGGCTTACAAAAGTAAGTGGATGATGCTATCGGGTCCATTCCCGTCATGTTCGCAGCCCTCTTAATCGCTATCACGCCGGCGCTGTTCTCGCGGCGTCAGCAAGTACCCTCGACGGCACATAGGAAAGTTCAGACGCACAGGACGCCAAAGCTCATGGCTAGCGCGACCCCTATCTTCTCCTTTCTCACCATCCGAGTTTTCCATACGATCCTCCAAGGAAAGAAAGCGAGCGCGAAGTCCATCGCCGCCGAATATACTTGACCAGTCATCTTAGCCCTCTAGTTAAGAAAGAAGCTCGGCAAACATACCCACTACCGAAAGAGGAACGACCGTCTTAGCAGTAGAGCTCCAACAAGACCCAGGAATGTACAGGTCGTTTCCGCCCTCGGCACCACAAGGCTTATTCCAAGCCGTGACCACGTATAAGATATACGAGCCGTTAATCGTTACGAGAGCGTACCAGAGGAGATATCTCGCCCGACCGCTCTGGAGGCGTAATAGAGTTAGAGCAAACGAGGACTTGGACCAGGCCGACGCGAGTCCGCAAAAGACAGAGCATATGTTAAAGTACGTCATGACCCTATCGTCGCTCGCGATAGAAATCCCGGAGCCCGGGGAGGCGAACGCGCTGATCAACCCGCCAGCGATCGCTGCCATAACCTATCAGATAGCGATTAGCATCAGTTCTTAAGGCCGTTCATCTAACAGAGATATCTTACCCAAGCACCCACGAGAACGAAGTCGTCCCACCTAGGAATCTCATCAGAAACGACCGCACATCTGATTTATGATACGCGATATTTACCATAACGGCCGCTGTCTAGAGAGCCGACAATAGAGTCTCGACGCGAGGGCTAAGAGAGATACTCCGACCATGAACCAGATACCGATATGCACTGACGTCTCTAGGTTAGCCATGGTTAGCGAGCGCGATCTATGCTCGACGGAGATTTATCAAGCGCGGGTGGCCATGATTTAAGTCCAACCTGCCCCAAAAATATGCGCGATGTCGGGAAATAATATTACTCACATATTCTATTCCAAAGTCAGCAGCCAAGTCGCCGAAAAGGATTGGCTGTGTGGCTGTACAACGCCCAGCCGCTGGAAGATCCCGTCGGCTTTGGGAGGCTGTATTAGCTGTCCGGAACCACGTAGATCATTCCCTAGGCCATACAATTAGTATGCCCGCCGGCCATATCATGTTGTCCTGGTCATCGCCCGAACGAAGTGAAAATGTGTCCTATTGTCTAGCCTGCATAACAGCGTCGCATTGGTACGGATTACGATTGTCTCGCAGCGGCTGTCACTAGCGAAAATTGCGCAGTCTTGGCATATGATTAATGATTAACAATTATACTAACAAAACAATTTCGAGTGTAACGATGTTATACATCATTCTATTCGTCAGAAGGTACTGTATCTTGCTGTGGTTTTAGATTCTTAATTGCTATTACATTGGTCAAGCTTAGCAACCTTTAACATGAACTATACTTTCAACCCTCCGAAACGTGTCCAATGTGCATGCTGAAAAATTATAAAAATATACCTAAAGTGTATAAAGGCCACGGAATTTGCTAATTACTTTTTCCTATTTTCTACGCCATCTCTTGGTGCTTGTTTCGAATATAGTATTGTTTTCAAAAGAAAATGCCAAGACTGCGCAATTAATTTTCGCTACATAGTAGTGACAGACCGGGCGCCACCATCTTGGTAATCTTACGCAACGAGGCTTGCATAGGTGCTTAGAGACATAATCCTACGTAAATTTCGAAATTGGCAGCTTTCCGCCGTGACTCAAAACGAGTTACTTGTATTGAACGGTTGACTTTATCAGGTACCGTACTGCTGAGTACGGTGTATGGGTGGTATAAGTAACTTGGCAGTTTCTGATATATACGTCATGTAAAAGTACCATACCTACATTGTCCTCCATCGCGAACGATAATGCTACCTAAGAATCTATTGTCAGAATTCTAGTCGTCTCAGGAAGGGGATGTTCCTATAACCAGACTCATGTAGCTAAAGCCCCTCGGGGAGAAACAAAGTTGTTTCTACGTGACAACTATGACTTAGAATACATTTCCTCAAGGTCTATCCCAAAGACTTCAATAATACGATTTTAATCAATGTCCCACTCGCAGCGAAAATACCCGGCAGCAGGCCCTGACCACTGTAAGGGGCATGGCACGTGACACGTTTGACAACGACCTTATTTTTACGTCGTTAAAACTCGGCAACTAGAACTGCTCGCTAGTATTGTGGTATCCCCTGTGCTAATTCTCTTACGCATCATTCATTCCATCTTGGTTCATCCCAAGTGCCTGACTCTTAATTACGAGTGACTTTCACGGCTGTAGCATACGTGGGTATCGCAAAGCCGTCCGATATTTAAAGGGTACTATCCACCTCGAAGCTGAAATTAATCACTCATTACAGGCCTCGATTCATATTATTTAGGGTTTCGTTTTGCTGAATAGGAGGTGACACTTCCCTTACATGTCGTAGAAATTGGTCAAACCACCAGACAATGTAAATGGCCATGATTAAGCCCGTTAAGAAAGTATGCGTAACTTGAGGGATCTCAATATTCACTCCCATGGCTTTATATACGTATATCTCTGGTTACTATATAAACAGCTCTCTAGTAAATGAAAATTTGTTCTTCCCAAATCCAAAATAACATCCGCAATAGAATCCAATTTCTAGCATCTCTATCTGGGCCTTTGGATACGCCATGGATTACCACTATCCGCCTCTAAGGGAGCTTGAACACTCTGCCGTCTTCGAGACGATAGAGGGTGCTAGCGTTTTTCAAATCCTTGAAAGTTGCATTACGTTCAGCTCCGAACCCGCAGAAGCTGGAAACGCCCTGGATCGTGCTCTAGGACACATCTTAACTCACCCAGAATCTCTCCGTAATCTCTGGCGAGCTTTTATCGAAATTGTCTGCCAAGTACCAGCCTACGATGTTAACCAAAAAAGGCTTGTGCAAGTACTTGCGCATTTGAGTTCTTTCCCGCCACCCCCAGAGGTATGTGCCTGTCGACGAAACCGTATTTGTAAATACCTCGAGGACTAGGACTAATTTGCTCTTTGAAAAGTCCAGATCTCATTGGGCTAACCTGCCGGGATTTGAACAACTTATTCGCGAGTCATGGCGTAGTAAGCTACCCTTCATAACGCATACGGGGATTATACTAAACGTATTAGGACCGGAACACGACGACGACGATAAAGCATATGATCGATGGATTAACCTGAATGCGTTTGCCGCTCGGCTTTACGGTGGAAATATCGTCGAATGGTACGACCTTGGGATTTCCTCCGTCCGTGACGCATTTGAACTTGACTATCATCCCGAACCCCGGGAGAGTAAGTGTTACCTTATAGCTGCCGCGCATTGGATGATCTATTCGGCCCCTAAATTATTTCTTTTGACGCGGACGCCGACCCCTCATAACGGCCGATCGGTATTTCCCCGCGGAAGGTATTGCGTTGTTCAAGACCCGGTATCTCGCGGTAGGACTATCATTAGTCTAGCTCGCTGGAGCTATTGGAAGATTTCCTTTAAGTAGAGAACGTCGGACGGATTCGACGAGTCCTATTCTGCGTATACGTGTATGTGTAATGCCGATGGCGATGCGGGATTTCCGTTTTCCTGATTGCTCGTAGCAAGCTTTCAGGGCCCCGGCCGAGGACAGTAATTTTACCACAGCACCATAATATACTATCAACCCGTTATATGTCTTATCAAACTGCTTACAAACTTTAAGGGATGTTTCGACTATGTTGCAAGACCTATGCTAATTGTAGATAATTGGAAGTTATTCCCGTGCGATATGATGTATACCTAACGATTGGTTTTCGTCGTGGGACTCTTTTCTTGGTTGGCAAGGTGTAAATAGAATGCCATATCGTCAACCAAGACGTAGAAAGATTTAGAACTCTCCAGGTTACTATGATAACTCGAGCAACATAGGAATGGGTTAGAAGTCTCTTGCCCGAATTAGATAATTCTAAAAGCAGCGTCTTTCGTGGATGGACTAGTTATCGTCTCGAATATTTACCTAACAATATGTCAGAGGCTGCCCTTGGTATATCACCACTACGGAGTGACAGGTGACTAGCTGGTGAATAACTCATATGGTATTTCGGAATCCTACTAACGCCTGCCCTCTCCTAAATCTAAGAGGGAACCAAGGTCCCCTTATATAATGAATGACTAGCTGGTAGATAGCTTCAAGCTAGATCTTAGACCCCTTATCACATCATACACCTATCGCAATCCTTGTCATCTGACAATTGAAAGTATCGGGCTTCCGCTGTGGCCAATTCTACAAGGTCCTAAACGGCTTTGACGTTGTGACCTGGAGTGTTAAGAGTAAGGCTTCAATGGCTAATCACTTTTTGCCTACCCTCGGCGAAAAGTACGAAAGTCCTACGGAGTATTAAGCTACTTATTTTCCAAGTGCTTGGCTACTCAAACGCAAAGAGAGTGGCAGGATGTGAAGGTCGAGCACCCAAAAGGGGTGTAAATTTTGGAAACCTTCAAAAACAATTCGTTCCTATAGCCGACTACGAACATTTCACTTTGCATCTAACTCCCGTTTGGAAAACTATTACTGATGATAGATCGTGATAATGTGGTATTTCAGCAACTGAAAGGGGTAAATTAATGACGTTACGTTCAATATTCATATTCTTAGTCACTACCTTTCCACGTAAAGCCTTGTTGTTAATACCATGACCTGAGTAAGTAATACGATATGGGATTGACACGCTGGATTAAAAGTGACCTCGTGATGTAATGGGTAAAGCTAGTCACGCTAAATCTCTTCCCTGATAACCACGGCAAGGCCTCTTCAAATTAGTATATAACATGGCATTTCTAGCCGCAATGATATATTCCGCATCATAACATAAACCGGTTTCCTAAGTATAGCATCTCTGTTTGACCAAAAAAGCCATGGCTTACCAAGATAACCAAGCCGCCCGCCCATTTCCTAGGCTGGCGTTGTACGGCGACCATCGTTCGGAAATTGATCGAGCCATCCTTAATATCCTCAACACGTGCGTCGGACCGCCTTATGGTTTACTAGGAGATGCTTCGGTCGCTTTAGATAATCTTAGACCACCAAGAAGACGTCGACATCTCGGGGAAAGTCTTGAATCAGAGTCGACATTTCTCTACGGATTCTGGCGAACCTTTCTCGAATTCGCCAGCCAAATTCCATGCGATGACCCGGCTCAAGGTTATCTTGCAATGCTGATTAACGAGCTAAGGACCCTACACCCGCCTAACGAGGTACGTAACTAAAACCCTCATCCGATCTCTAGCATTGCGTTTAATCGTTTTATGAATAGCTTGGCGTAAATATCTGGCGAGACTTACCAGGGCTCCAAAGAGGAATAAATGATGCCTGGCGTGGTAAGTGATCCCTATCTCAGCCTCAACTCGAGTTTGTTCACGTGGACGAATTACTAACTACCTACCTACGAAGAACCTACACGTTACGAATATGACCATCAGCTATATAAACAATGGGTTAATCTGAACGCGTTTACTTCCCGAATTTATTACAACGATCTTCTAGAGTGCTACGGCCTAGGGATCAGGGCGATGCGTCGCGCATTCGAGGATGATCAATCTCATGGCGGCGCGTTTATGACATGTCGCGTTAAAGCTGCCGCGCAGTGGATGATTTACTCAGCCGACAAATTATTTTCCCTGATGACTACCCGTCCTCCTAGCGAGGAAGAGCAGATTGATCATATGAGTCCGCTATTTTACGGTATTAACGTCTTTTCTCCTGCCCGTTGGGCTTTTTGGAAGCGGCGTTTTAGAAATCTCTCTGGGGCGACAAAAAAAGCGGCTGACGCAGCCGTAGAAAATATGAACCGAGCAGATGGCGGCCAACCAGTGTAAGGAGCGAGCCAATACTATTTGATTTAGTATGCAGAGCCCTGAATTCTACATAATATAAACTTGGTATTTTTATTACTTTAAGCTGCGCATATTTGAGATATGTACTTGCCGGGCTTTTGGTTCATTATTCATATTCTTAGTCATTACTCTCATTCACTTAGAACCTTAACATCAGACTATTGCTTGCTTCTCGTCTTACTAGATAATGTTGAATCGGGGACTTTGTAGTGAATTGTAAACTTACAGCGCTTGATATCGCCCCTAGAGTAACATACAGCTAGAGATCCGACGGCTCTACAACTCGATCAGAGCCGAGTTTGAAACCTAGCTGCATACTCGGAAGCGTTGACCTTATGGTGGCCTCCTGAGTAGGTGAGACGATATGGGACTGAAATGAGTAAGAAATGTCCGTGGTATAATTACTAAAGCTATTCACGCCGAATCCTTTTCCTGATGGCCATAGCGAGGACTATTAAAATTACTATATAAAGACGCTTCCGGCCGCAATAACCTATTCTTCATTTTAACGGAAACTTGTCTTCTCGGCAAAGCATTCCTGCTCGATCAAGCAAGCCATGGATTCCCAGGACCTAATATCGGTCAACGACCAAAATGCTATCTGTTACATCCTCAACGGGTGCATCCAGCCGGCTCCCGATTCGATACAACGTGCTGCATTCGCTCTGGATAACCTTAGACCCCGAACTGCTCGGGGTGTAACTGATGAGACATTCGCCCGTGGATTCTGGCAGACATTTCTCAAATACGCCAGGCAAATTCATTGCAATAACCAAGATTATCTCGCAACAGTAGTCAAGCAGTTAACGGCACTCCCCCCACAGAACCAGGTATGTGATTCAAGAATTTTCATGGGATCTCCAGGGTTACGATTAACCATTTTACGAATAGGGTACCGGAAACTTCTGGACTCACCTACCAGGGCTCAGAAAAGCCATAGAAGATATGTGGGACGGCAAGTGACATCTACCTCATCCTTAACTCGGCTTTGTTCTCGTGAATTACTAACTAAGTCGGAAGAACCTACATCCCGCGAACGAAATCATTTGGTATACCAGGAATGGGTTAATCTGAACGCATTCGTCTCTCGACTTTATAGCCGTAATCTTATCCACGGATATGACCTAGGGCTCAAAGCTATGCGCCGCGCATTCGAAGATAATCAATCTGAGAACGCCAGGGTTAGGGAATGCCGCATGCAAGCCGCCGCGCAGTGGATATTTTACTCGGCCCCCAACTTGTATGAGCTGATGGAATGTAATCCTAGCGAGCATGACCAGCGCAAACATCACAGCACGCAGTTTTTGGGTACCGATGTTTTTTCTCTTAGGCGTTGGATGTTCTGGAAGCGGGCTCTTATTGATCTTTGCACACAGGTGGATTATGCTGCCAGAGCGGTGGAATTTATGGACGCAGTGGATGGCGGCCAATAAGTGGATGATTATGATTAGGAGGAGGAGTATGTTAACGTCTATTAGTTGCTATAAGCTAGGTAGCTACAGCGGCGCATTTAGACGTCTAGAGTACCTCCTTAAGGGGAGACAGAGCTAGAGTTTCACCTAACATAAGAGATCCTCCATTTCCTATCCTTAGCCCCTGCTTATAGTATTATTACTTGGTTAGCGCCAGCTCCAGGTAGCCGACTTGATTAAGGGAAAAACTGTCGAATACGCCTTTTGATAACGAACCAGAGACCACCCCCATAACGCCTGTGTCATTAGGTGGAACCAAACAGCATGGAAACAACCTCGTTGTTCCGCCAGGAGCTCCAACCTATCTGGCGGGCCTATGGCTCGTATATACATGTTCTTTGTCCTAGATGTCTCATCTAGAATCCTGACAGCCCGGCAATGCTCAAGGAAAAACCTAAGTCGGACCAGTTTAGTTTGACCATAGTGGGATTTAAACCTACTTATATTGCGGCACGTAGGCACAAACCAACATACATCCAGGCGTTAAACCACTACGCTATATAAAATAACGAGTGGAAAAGGCTGGTTACGGTTCTTTGATGTAGTATGTAGAGCCCCTGACTTGCACATAATAAACCCCGGGTATTTTTATTACTTTAAGCTGTGCGTATCTCAAATACGCACTTACTTACTATTATCACACCTGATATATGATGATGTTTCGGTAATCCTGCCTAAGATTCTCAACAGCTCCGTAGGGGGATTCATAGTTGTGCTTTAGAGGAATCTCATAACTTTTAGGACAGTCCTTTGAACCTTAGCGCTATGTCGATAAATATCGCCGAGTGATATCAGAGAAATGGCGCTATTGGTATATAGCCTCAGATAGTTGAATTCCTCGCAGAACAATGGAGTAGTCTTCTAGAGTCTCGGTCCACGTGATAATCAGTGCGTTGGCGATATTGCGAATATGTCGGGTTTTATAACTCAACCCAAGACAATACGCAATCTACTTCCGACAAAGTGATGGGCTTTTACATTAGCGCCGGTTCACTATCATAAACGGTTTCGACGTATCGAATCGCAATGGCTCGACATGTATTTACCTAAGAAAAGACCTTAACAGGAGACAAGAGACGTAGGTTGCTGGGTTGAAGGATAAATCTAGAACATAATCTCTTGCGATAAGACAAGATATCCTCGTAAGCGGTGACAGGTTCGGGACGCAGCAGTTTAACAGTAGGCCTGTAGATGACGAATTTAGTGCTGGTTCCCCTCGCATCGTATCTTTTTAATTACGCGTAAACGTATAAACGCGTAGGACGCATTTTAGGCATCAAAGCCGGAACCCATTACCTACAAACCTTTCTGCCAAATTTTTAAAGTCCCCCTCCTCTTTTCAACACCAACACCACCATTCACCAACACCACCATTCACCAACACCACCATTCACCAACACCACCATTCACCAACACCTCCATCGCAGTAGCAACAGCAACAACAGCAATGGCGAATGAATTTTCTCGTGGCAGCGGTGATGATGGGGGTGGTATCGCCGATAAGGCAGGGGATACTTACATAGGCGGTGGTGCGGGAGAACGGGGAGAAGGACGCAGCCATACCGTCGCCGCGGGAAGTTTTGGAGGAGCAGCCGTAAGCCTAGCCCTGGTTTGGGACTTAACTTACAGTCGTTTGCTGAGGTTTCTAACGATACGCAGAAGGACACACCGGATCCGAATCCCCCCGGGGCTTGGAAAACCCAAGGCTGGTTTACCCAAGGCTGGCTTGATGGCAAGAACGTGAAAGAGCGTATCGAAGAAATCTTTGGTCGGGGAGATCACTTGGAAGCTATGCTCAACATTGGTGAGCAAGCGAGAGCCTGGATGGAGCGCGAGAATTTCAACTCGCAGGAGGAGGAGGTATACGTCTCCTTTCAAAAGATCAAACGCCGCTGCGTTCAAAAGCAAAGGTTGCGCTCGTTAAAAAAGAGGCTGGAGCTGGCAGCGGCACAAGGTATAAAAGTGCCAAGAATAGTGCTGCCGCTGAGGGAGCCGGCTACTTCGCCCCATCAGCAGCCTAGCAAGGAACTATACGACCAGTTCATGCAGCAGTGGAAGCAGCAACAGCAACAGCAACCACAACAACACCAGCAACAACACCAACAGCAGCAGCAGCAACAACGACAGCAGCAGCCTACCTTGGAGCTATTCGACCAGTTCATGAAGCAGTGGCAGCAGCAACAGCAACAGCCTACCATGGAACAATTCGACCAGTTCATGGAACAATGGCAGCAGCAGCAACAGCAGAAGTTTGAACAATTCAAACAGTTAGTCCAATGGCAGCAACAGCAACAGCCTCGGCCGACCCTGGAAAACTTCAAGACATTCGTCCAGGGGCAGCAGCAGCAGCAACAACAGCAGACACAAACTACACACCAAGATATACAGTCCGTCGGTGAGGGATATACAACTACGGGTCACCACAACGCCTACACCGGTCAAGCGGACGTTCGTGGCGGTATTCGTCGCCGTGATGCTTACAGTGGTGGCCGCGGTCCTCGCAATGGCCGCGGTGGCTACCGTGGCCGTAGAAATTATCGTGGTGGTTTTAGGCAACAACGTGCTAACTCCTCGGCCGGTACTTTGTAAAGAAGACGGCCTAATTCTGGAGGAGAAAGATAATGAAATGGATTACGGGGAGTAGACCCCCGGCCTACCAAAAGGGACATGGAAGAGAGGGCATGGAAAAGAGGCTTGGTTGGTGATAACCACCTTGGGCGCCTCGTTTTACTACATTATAATGATACTTAGCTTTGCTCGAATTCTCGATAAAAACAATTAATAGGTAATTCCGTGTTTTTATATGAGTATTGCCATTTCAGTAGTAATGGCAGTTCAGTAGAGGTAGTCAGTAGCCACAGCCAAGGGTGGGGCAAACCACAGGTACGTACCCCGCCATACAATTTTCCCAGTATCTTTTTGTACCTCATGTTCATTCTACTTGGACATGCACTACAATTCTTATTATATTGACTTTTATCTTTTTCTCGAAATATGGACTGTTTCGAACCATTTTCTAAGGTGCCTAGGCCTCCTTTTGGGTGCTGAATCGAAGGTGAGGGTGCCGTTTTCGAGAGTACCGAGTCCTCCCCCAGGATGCCGAGTCCTTTTCCGGGGTGCCAAGCCGTGGTTAAGGTTGTTAAAAGTGCCAAATATTTAAAATGCCGAGCCGTAAGTAAAGGTATTAAGGGTGGAGGTATTGGAGATATTAAGGATATTAAAGATGTTATTTTCGGGGGTGCCGTTTTCGAGGATACCGAATCCTCTTTCAGGGTGCCGAGCCGTGGCTGAGGGTGCCGAGCCGTGGCTAAAGGTGCTAAGGGTGATGAGGGTGATGAGGATGCTAGGTATCTAGGGTGCCAAGGGACGTTAAAGGCGATGATATTAGGGATGAGGGCATTAAAGGTGCTAATACGGGGTGCTAAGGATAGCAATATAAATTCGAGCTATTGTGGCATCCCTCTGGGGTGCCCTCCAGTAGATATTTTTAATATCTCCACTTTCCTTTTTCGGTAATTATTATTGGGATTGACCAATCACGATTTAGTGTCATTGGTTGACAATCTACAACATTAAGCGTAAATGCGATCAAACTTACCATATAAAGCAGACCACACGGATGGGTAAGGGCCAAAAGGCAGTATATGGAACCGCGAGATCATCAATTGTCATTACAAAAGTCAAACTCTAGCTCAGCTAAATATGATCCTCGACTCACGTCAGCGGCTAAGCCTCTTCCATCTTATTCCTCATACCTGCTTGGCTTCCAGATTATTTCTTCGTCTTCCATGTGATACCACAAGTCGTATTGCAATAACCCCAGACACGCGTCTTTCGTGTCAGACGGGAATCATACACATATACTTATAGCAGCGGTTCCCTTTGTAGAAAGTTGCTGTTCTGCCTAAGGTATGCAATTTTCGAATCCATCATAAGAGGTAAGCATCTACCCCGCGCAGCCGACAGGATTTTAGCTGATGCCTAATAGGATTTCAGGGTGCCTGCGCCGGTCGCACCGGATTCACAGGAGACATCCACCGTATGACTGTCGCCCGCACGCGCGATATTCAAGGCAAATTCGTCCTTAGGCAGCAGGTAAGCTTTATCAATCTAAAATCGTGCGTGGTTGTCTAACTAAAAACTTATAGTATACAGCAGACTCTAGGCAAAGGGGTCGGTTATCGAAGCCATCCTGTCAGAACTGCCTGCACGCGGGTCACGGGGGGATCGCTGTACCGGTATCACTCGCCGTCTCGTGGAGATGATGAGGGTCGTCGCGCGTCTGATTGCGCCCTTAGCAAGGCGTTAAACTGCCAGGACTGCACCGATCGCCCTCGCTGCGCTGCCTGCGGCTATGAGGAGGGCCACCGAACATCCAGATGCCGCCTGGGCAAAACAGCGGACTCTGCTAAGGGTTCCGCCGACAGAAATGATCCCGTATGTTATTGGTGTCAATCCCCCGGCCACCGGGCCAGGGATTGTCACCAGCGGGTGATCTGTCGAAAGTGCAATCAGCCCAGGCATATGGCAAAGGAGTGCCCGAATCATGTTGCCAGCCAGACTCGCAAAAAGCAGCTCTCTACTGATCTTACGCATAATAAGACAAAAGAAGAGCTCAAGTCTGCCGGGGATCACGCAAGTTTCTTTTCCAAGGAGACTTATGACCTCCTGGATCAGATCAACAGTATGGGCGGCGACGACCAGGTGGACGCGTATCCCGAGCAGCAGAGTTCTGCCTTCGGAGATCTGGTTCCTGATGACTCGTGGGCTTCAGCTGTCGCAGCTCAGGGTGATAGTCAGGCTAGCCAGTGGTATGATGAAAAAGACACTGCCGAGCTTTTTATGCTTCTGGGAGACCCTCGACAGCTCGCCCCCTTTGTCACTCCCAATGTCATTGAGATGACGGCACTATTCGGCTTTCACCCTGACGTCTCGTGTCTGGAGAGGATGCGACAAGCCGG